CCACCAACCACCACCACCACCACCACCACCACCACCACCACAACCGCACCACCACAACCACGCACACACGCACGCACGCACGCGCACCACCACCCACTACGCACGCGCGCGCGGAGCCACAGGTCCGCTACGACACGCGTCCGCGGATAGAGAAAATCAGCGCCATGGTAAGGGATGGGAGGGAGGGGTAGGACGTCAGATATGACGCGAGCGCACATAGCTTGCCCTCCTCCTCCTCCTCCCCCTCCCCCTCCTCCTCCTCCTCCTCCTCCCCCTCCTCCTCCTCCTCCCCCTCCTCCTCCTCCTCCTCCCCCTCCTCCCCCCCCTCTTCCTCGGAGCGCCGGCCCTGCCGCTTCCGGGCGCTCCCCCGGCAGCCTCGGTTCGGCACGAGCACGGTGGGTACGGAAAGAATGGGTACAATACCCAAGATCCTTTTTTTTACACACACATATATATAAAGACTCTGGCAAGTTTACTTGCATGGACGGGGGGGGGGGGGGGCTGAGCCTGAAGCAAGCCCGGGGGGAAGGGGGCGCGGAAATCACGCAAGTCGAAAGGCACTTGCACGCTAGTATTCGCTTGAAGAGGGACGAGGGGGGGGGGGGGCGAACGCCATGCAAGTAAACTTGCCTGAATCCCAAAAAACAGGCTCAACCCAACAGCAGTTCTCGGGGGTGGACAGACCTCCTACCCTGACACGTCGATTCGTGAATTGGCAGTTCTCGGTTCGCGAGAGGGCGGCGCGGCCGTCATTTCTGCGGGTCCAGGTCCGTCGGTTTCGGTCCCAGGCCGTTTTCACTAAAGGGTGGTTTATTAAAGGGAGGTTTGTCCACCGCCGAGTCCTTCATGCTGAGTGAGTCGGGTTGACCCAAAAGGGGGTCCAGCGACAAGGGGGTGGTGCAATATATTTGGTGCAATAGCTTGTGGGATGGCAATGCGTGTGGGCGGGCGCAGATGTTTTGCTGGATTTTTGCGTGCGATACATTCGTCGCAATACCATGCAATACAGTTCTCTGGCGCAGTACATTTGCAACACAATGGCCCCAGATCTATTGCACCACCCCCTTTCAGTTGGACCTCCTTTTGTGTCGACCAGAGGGAGGTGCCAGATTCGGTGGGGGTGACTCAGGAGGAGCTCCACGAAGCGCAGGCCCAGCTGTGAAGCCAGAGTTTTTCTTCATGGCCACGGCCTCCCCGAGCGTGCACTGGCGGACTGGCGCAGACCGCCCGCCAGGCCCGTTCCGTCCGCCGCCGGGGTCTCTCGCTACGGTCTCCCCGTCTGGCGCCGACTCGTGCACACGGGCGGACCGCCGGTGGAGTTCCGGGAGGCTCTGAGTGTCGGTGGGGCTGCAGCATTAGGACCGTCGCCTATGCTGTGGCATTCCGAGCCAGCGGTCGCTGCCGCGGTCGGTCCGGCAGCTCGTGACGCGTGGCGCCGTGACGATCCGAGGCAAAAAGAGAAGAAGTATTCGGTGGTTCTCAAGGATGGGGCCCTGAGGCATGGGGTCCTCGGGACAGGAAGGGAGCCACGGGCAGATGGGCATGCTTGGAGGCACCTCGTCCACAGGACCCCATCCCTGGGGACCCTCACCTTGGAACCACCGACAGCCGATCCGTCCTCCGGTCGAGGTGGCGCCCGTCGGGATCGTTGGTAGTCCCCAAACGTGGTGGTGACAACACCTGGCGGTGAGTCTCGGGCGATTTGGTGTCACCACCCGGTTTGGGGACTCGTGCGGTTTTCCGAGGATGTCCCGGACACTGGTGGGTCCAGGAGTCACAAAACCAGGTGGTGACCCCGCGTCCCCAAACCCAGCGGTGACCCTTTTGGGGATTCCAGGTCGCCACCTGGTCTCTCACCACCCGGTTTGGGGGTTCCCAAGATCGGGAAGGCGCGCGCGCGGGGGGTGCGTCCGGAGGGGCCTCGGCCCCGGTGGAGGAGGAGGAGGAGGAGGAGGAGGAGGAGGAGGAGGAGGAGGAGGAGGAGGAGGAGAGGAGGAGAGGAGGAAGGGGCGGAGGAGGAGGAGGAGGAGGAGGAGGAGGAGGAGGAGGAGGAGGAGGAGGAGGAGGAGGAGGCGGTGGGCGGCCCTCAGGTGCTGCTCCACCCCGTTGCCGATCTCCTGCCCAGGGGGCCCGACGCCATGCTGGAGGACTCGTCGCGGCCCGGCGCCTCCGCCTGCCGCGGAGGCCTGCATCGAGGGCATCGAGGGCCAGATAGCCCCTGGCCCTGCAGTTCACCCGCGCAGTAAGGATTTGGTGGTCCCCAAACGTGGTGGTGAGAACACCCGGTGGTGAGTTTTGAGCGATTTGGGTAATGGTTTTCGAGCGCTGGCTGGCCCAGGAAACGCAAAACCTCGTGGCGACCGCGTGTCCCCAAACCCGGTGGTGACCCAGAATTATTTTTTGGGGGAATCGGGGTCACCACCGGGTGTCTCACCACCTGGTTTGGAGACCACCAAAAAGATGGGGGACGACCTTCCCAAGGGTACCCTTGCATCCTTGCCTCCTCGGTCCATCCTTGGCCACTTTCCTTGGCCGCGCCCCCCTCGAAAAGCTTCGACATGAGCCTCCAGGGCCCTTGTATCCTTATCGCGCATCCTTACTATACTGGTTGACTGTAATGACACAATGAAGACGTGGCCTCACTTAGGTCACTGTCTGCGCACTAGGGATAATCATAATCAAATCTGGGTGATTTGGTCTGATGCGTCTGCAGAACGCACTCCCGATTCCTGATGTGTTTGGCCCTCCTGGCTTAGGTCCCCTCCCAAAGGGTTAAGGGCTTCTCATTGCTTTTCATGAAGGTGATCGAGATCTGAGTTTCGTGTCCTGAGGGGCATTGGTTCGGGATCGGGGTTCCAGACTTCTTGGCCTTCTGGACGCACCCCGCTGGCACGGCTGAACGCAGCTCGAAGAATTGGCCAGGAGGGAGCTGTAGGTTTAAGTCGGGTATGTCCTTCTACATGAGGAGTATCCAAAACTAGTCAACAAAACAATATTGGGACAATGTTTAACTATTTTCCATTTGTCGCCTCTAGGAGGAGATGCCCGACCTAACTCTCGGTGTCATGGGGGCAGATGCCGAGAGTGGGTTGTCATGTATCCGCAGTAGGAAGCGGTCCTGGAGTGAGTTGGGGGGCGCCCCCGGGTTCCATGACCCGTTTCCACCGAGACCCGTCTCATCCGCACCAAGATCGGGCCGAACGAAAGGGGGGGATAGGGAAAAGAGGGTTACGAAATCTGCTGCATGCAGCTGATTTCGGCCCCGCCGCCGGGCCCATTCCTCGATACATCGGCGCCTCCTAGCGCCGGGAGTCGCCAGGAAAATCAGCTGCGTCAGCTGATTCTCCAGGCTGACGCCACATCCACCGACCCAATTTGTTGTAGATGGGTGGAATTCCTAACGGCGGTAGAGGGTTAGAGGATGTTGCTCGGGATCTCGTGGTTGGCCTCTCGGGGGCCTCCTACCATTTCAGGAACATCTGCCGATGCGGGGAGGGGGGGGGAGGGAAGAGTTGGATGAGGATAAGGAGGGTGAGGATGAGGATGAGGAGGAAGTGGGCGATGAGTAGGGTGCGGGGATGAAGAAGGCGACGATGGCGACGACGACAATAGAGGGTTCATGGATAGTAGTCGGGATGACGTAGTCTGGAGGACGGGGAGGGGGAGGAAGAGTGCAGGTTGGAGGCCTCTTGGGCGCCGTTTTGGGGTCTCTTGGGGCCCCTTTTGGGCCTCATAGGTTCGTCTTGGGGGGTTTAGGGGGACCTCCTGGGAGCTCCTGAGGTGAGGGCCTTTTGGTTGCCTTTTGGGTCGTGGTCCCCCTCCCGGCCCTCTCGTGGACTCGTTTTCAGGCGGCCTTGGGCCGTGTCGGGTGCGTCTTGGGCCGTCTGGAGGCCCTCTGGGGCAATGTGGGGGCCCTCTTGGAGGCCTTTTGGGCCGTCCTGGGGCGACCTCGGGGGCGTCATAGGCCGTCTTGGAGCGTCGGACAGGCGGGAAAATCAGCTACGTGAGCTGATTCTCAAACCCCCCCTTTGCTATCCCCCCCTTTCGCCCGGCCCGACAAGAGGGGGGCGCGGGGTGGAAGGCAGCTCACGCCTTGCCGTGCGGCTCGTCCTCTTTTGGTCCCCTGCTTGGCTTGATTGAAGTCAGTATCGTTTAACCGATCCCTATCCCCATCCCCATCCCCTTCGATACCCCCATCAAATTACCCCCCCCAGTTGGGGATACACCCCTCGAAACTCGATGGGAACGACCTATATCCCCATCTAGGGGGGTAAATCGGCCAGTGGGGCCCAGGCCACGCCCTCTCAGTCAGTGACGCAGCAGCTGTTCTTGACGCTTTGGGTCAGCAGTCGATGACCTGGTCAGCGGCCGTTCCAGCCCCTGCTCTCCGCGCGTTCCCTCGAGCTCGCTCCCCTCTCGCAGACTGCTTGACGTCGCTGGAGCAGTTCCGAGGGCAGCCGGGCAAGGGTCGAGCGCCCCCGAACGGCTTGCAGAGGCACGCCCTCGCCGGCCATGGGCAAGCATTCTAGGCCTCCTGGATGGGGTCCGAGTAGACGGGTCGGAGGATCCCGCTGTATCGTCGATGCATCGGCGTTGCGGCTCGATGCGGAGCCCGATTTTCTCCAAGCGGGCGTCGCCGATGCATCGCCGATGCGTCGGCGATGTATCGCTGATGTATCGGCGATGTGGCGCGATCCCCCGATCCTATCTACTCCGACCCCATCTAGGAGGCCTCTGATCATTCTGACGTAAGCACGTTGCGCGCTCCAGAATCCAAGCGCCGGCTCGACTTTCGCAAGCGCCAGGTGCACAGCATGCGGGTGTATGTGTTCGCGGGGCGCGGTCCTGCATCGCATCATCCGGTGAAAGGCAGACCGTGGAAGCCGAAGCGCGAAGCGCGTCGCGTATCCTGGCGTGGGGAAGCTGTTTGTGATCGACACTCTTCGGGGTGGCGACAGCGCCACTTTGAACCACGGGAACACAGGGCCGATCCTGAAATGAGGCCCACGCTGCAGCGGGAGCGCCATTTTGGAAGGACGGGAAACGTTCGGACTGGAAAGCACAGCAACATACTTGGACCTGTCCTTTGTGCAAAATATCAAAACGCAGAGGGGGACGCGCGACTCCCATTTCACCTCAGGGGGAGAGACGAGTAGCATTTAGACTGTGTAGTATTTCAGGGGCAATGAGAAATTATGGCTTTAAGATACAACGACATGGGAATGACAGGCTGACCAATTTACGTTTCGCCGATGATATTCTTTTACTAACTGGATCACTCGACCACCTCAAGGATATGCTTTCTGATGTGATTTTCCAAATAGGCTTGCCTTATAGGAGTCCTAGCTCAAACCCTATTAATTGGTCCGTTGCCCCCCCCCACCCCCTAATTCCTATGCCCCCCTAATTCCTATGCCTATGCCTCCCCCTAACTCCTATGCCTCCCCCTAACTCCTATGCCTATGCCTATGCCTGCTTGATTGCTTGCTTGCTTGCTTGCTTGCTTGCGCGGCTGCACGCTGGCTTGCTTGCTTTCTTGCTTGCGCGCTTGCTCGCACGCTTGCTTGCTTGCTGAGTTGTGGAATCCAAGCATGCTTGATTCCTTTGATTCTTCGATTTGAATCGGCTAATCTATTTGGAGTCAACGCTGAGTGATATCATCGAGGCATGCAAGGTGGGTTTGGAAATGCTCCCGGACATAACGAAGATCTTGCACAACGGGAACTCCACCATACGGCCAAAATGCACCAAACAGCGTGACTGTGCACGGCATGGCGATCGAGGTTATGCCGCAGTACCGCGCCACGAAGTATCCCAGACGACAACTACAGCACAGCACGACGCAAGCAGCGGAAGCCAACGCCAGCACTGACGACCGACACGACAATGCCCACCAGCATTCCGACGACGACGACGATGATAACGGACGTGACGTTGCGCGCACGCCAGGTTCTACGGCATGTCTTCGCGATGCTGACACAGCGGCAGATGATTTCGAATCGTGGATTGACTGGGTGAAGCGAGCCACACACACGGCAGAGGCGACAATGGAGATATTACACATCACGGATTTGATTTTCAAAATACGATTGCGAAAATGGGATTGGTTACGGAAGCTGGCTAACACTGTTGAGCATGAGTGGACGCGACAGGTGCTCCAATGGATTCCACAATGCGACTGCGATTCCGTCTACACAGCGAGACGCAGAGTGGGGAAACTCAAATCCAAATGTATTGACGACGTCCGAAAGTACATCGGAGTAATGATGGGATGGGATGATGTGGGTGTTTCAGATGTATTATGCCTTGCGTCGACAATTAGGTGGGACAATCTTGCTTCAGATTTCACGGCACACGACATTTCAGCACCCCGGCGCTCGGGCGCCGCACCGGCATCGCACCAGACAGACTGCCGTCACCTTAGCCATTACCAAACATCCAAATTCCCACCTCCAACACTCGACCTCTACCTTTCGACCTCCATCAGCCATCGCTACCCAGCTTTCCAAATGCATCTTTCGACCTCCACCTTTCGACTCACAGCCTCACCTGACCGACCTCCAGCTCCCAGCTCCCAGCTCCCGACTCCCACCGTCCACCATCAGCCTTCGACTCGCAATCTTCCACCCCCAAGCTGTCGACCTCCACCTGTCGACTTTCCACCTGACCTGACCGATTTCCAGCTTCCAGTTTTCGGCTCCCGCCATCAACCAACAGCTGACGGGAATCCGACCTCTACTCATTGACCACCCGCCGCACGTGGCCGACGTCCGGTCTCCAGCTTCCGACTCCCAACGTTCACACGACCAGCTACCGACATCCAGTCTTCAACCTGCCAGCTTTCGACCCCCACCTGCCTCAAGGGCAGGACCTCCAGCTCCAGGGGCGGAGAGCTCTGCTCGGGCCGCGTGCTCTCCGTCGCTCCAGCGCCCCCTGCGCAGCACCCGCAGCACCCCAGACGGTGCCCGCGCGCGGGCGCGAGAGGGCTTCAGAGAGGAAGGGGTGCCGAGGATGAGGAAACGGCGAGATGCCGCGGACCAGGCGAAGCTGGAGAGAGGAGGCGTGCGTCAACCCAGCCTTCGTAATGCAGCAGGGCAGCGGAAAGCTGAGGCCCGAGTCTTCAAAGGGATATAGCACCGGGCACATGCTTGTGCACACCAGGATCGTAGAAAAAACAGCCGATACAAGCAAACACCTTCATCTGCCACCTAACTGTTCCATTTGTCTCGAGATACTGCCACGTTCCTTCATCTACGGGCCCTGGGGACGTCAACAGACACCGTTTGGGATGACAGTAGTACCCTAGGGATGGTGTCGAGAGGTCTCTGGTGCCCCCGATGCCCGAAAATACAATGTCGTCGGAGCTCTGGGCACAAGGACTCGGATTCGGTGATGAAACATTTGTAGAACATTGATTGGTCGGTTCCACGGTATCGCGTACCGAAAGAGGGAGTGGCAAAGGGAGGAGGCGAGGAAACAGGAGGATGTAGAGACAAGGTCGAGGACGAAAAACAGGCCGTGGTGGAGGAGGAGGGGAGGAGGAGCAGGAAGTGGACGTTCGCGATGAGGATGCGCCGGACGAGGAACATGAGAAGGGGTACGGATGCCAATGTGGACAGCGGCGCATGCGCATGGTCTGATGTCACTTGTCTCTTGCCCACCGTCCTTCGGCCGCGTCCCTCCTCCCTCCTCCTCCTGCATGGTGGCACGATTCTCAGAGCGTGAATTACCTACCCCGCTTTCGCTTCCGGACAAAACCAAGTCATACCACGCGCCTCCTCGTCAAGCGGCCTGACCAGTACAGGCCATAGTTTGGCATCCCTTGGTGTCTCCTGGAAGAGAGGGTGGTCAAAAGCGAGGTAGATTTGTTTGCCCCCTAGATTCGCTCCAACGCTACCCCCGCTCATGTTCTTATCGCCAGCGCAGCCCCCCGCTGCCTAGCCGGCAAACGCAAAGGCATACCCCGCTGTCTAGCCGGCGCATACCCCCCGCCTGCCTAGCTGGCGCGGTCCCCCGCTGTCTAGCCGGCGAGGAGGAGGAGGAGGAGGAGGAGGAGGAGGAGGAGGAGGAGGAGGAGGAAGAGGAGGAGGAGGAGGAGGAGGGGGAGGAGGAGGAGGAGGAGACGCAAAGGAATACCTTGCCCCCCCTTCCTTAGTCTTTCGGGTCCGTGCGACCGCAGCCCCCCTTCGCCCCCCCCCTCTTGCCGTGCGACGCCCGCCGCCCCTCCCGAGGAGATCCGCCGGCTCGGGCCCGGCCAGGCGGCTCGCGGGGGGGGGGGGTCAGGAGGGAAAAAATCGGGTCGGGTGAAAGGGGGGGATTGGGAAAGGGGGGTTACGAAATTTGCTGCATGCAGCTGGTTTCGGCCTCACCGAGGGGCCCATTCCTCGATACATAGCTCCATCCGGCGCCACGAGGCGCCGGGAAAATCAGCTACATGAGCTGGGGGGCCTCAGGAGCGAAAGAAGGACGTACACGTAAATGAATCCACGCTGTTTTCGAGATTTCGCAGTGCGCGAGTATTCGTATCACGCGGCCGGTCTCGCGGGTCAAGGGGCCGTGTTCATGTACATAGCTGGGCGCGTACGTCCTTTGTGGGCTCCCTAGGGGGGGGGTGTCAGGAGGGAAAAAACACACACACACACAGACACAATTAATCGTCGATCCCCAGGAAAGTATGCGAAAATATGGGAAGTGTGGGGGAAGACGAAAAGCAAACACATATGGATAAATATAGGGAATCCTCTTTTATTTGTGTGCATTCATTTGTGTGTCCCAGGGCCCCTTTAGGGGGGACGCGCGGCGCGAGGAGGAAGGAGACCTATCGGTCGTTGAAAGTGGGTATTTCTGGAGTCCGGGGGGGGGGGGCGCGCGGCGCGAGGAGGAAGGACACCTATCGGTCGTCGAAAGTGGGAATTTTCTGGAGCCCCAGCTTCCAATCTGCTTTTTAGGCGCCATCCTACTCCAGAGATCGAGGGGCTTCCCCTCCTGCGTCCTCTTCAAGAGGGCGGGCGGACACCCAATCTGCTTCCAACGCCTTCCTACTTCATTCAGGAGGGGAAAACACAGACACAATTAATTCTCGATTCCCAGGAAACTATGGGAGAATATGGGAAGTGGGGGGGAAGACAAAAACCCAGAACATATGCGAAAATATGGGGAATAGTTTTTTTTGTATGTATTTATTAGTGCGTCCTGGGGCCCCTTCATTCATGTTTCTACCCACTTCTTCCGACCGATGGGTAAGGAGAGACCGAGGCAGCGTGGAAAAGTGGTGATGCCGAGGGTGTGTGCGGTTCGATGGGTCGGGCTGCGTCGCGGTTGGGTTTTCGCACCTGGCGTTTGGTGGGTCGCGATTCTGCACGTGTTCCGCAGGTTTATGACAAGATGTTTACACCCAGTATTGTTCGGGGATGGACAGAACCCCCAATAGTGACACGTCGATTAGTGAATTGTCCGTTTTCGGTTCTCGAGAGGGCGCCGCCTCCGTTATTTTCCAGGCCTGCGCCCGCCAGGTTTGGGCCCGAGGGCGTTTTCACTAAACCACGTTTTGCTAAAGGGGGTTCTGTCCATCCCCGAATTGTACTTTCTTTGTGGCCCCTGGGAACTCCCGAAAAACACCAGGCACACCAAAAGCACGAGCTGTTTTTCATTCAGGGGTTTCCCCCATGGAGACTGTGTTCGCCCGGGGATCCCAGGAAAACCATTGGCAAAAACCCGAGTTGGGTTTTGTTTTCGGGAGTTGTTTGGAATTGCGATGTTCAAATATAACATTGTTTTTTAATTGTAAGGTCCCGGGCCCCCCCCGAAGCACAATCGAACAACTTACCAAATGGGGGGGGGGTCGGGTGGTATCCCCCCTGGAACTTGGGATGGCCGGAGAACCCGCGAGAAACTTACGAAATTGCTCCGACGGAAGGACCCCACATGAGAATCCTCTGGGCGAATCTGGAAAAAGCCCTCACCGTCGTCCTCGTGGTCGGTGAGGCGTCCTGGCTGTCTCTTCTGCGTATATTTCTTCTCTCCCTGGCGCCGGCCCTCCCCCCGCTCCCTACGCTGCCCCCGACCTCGCCCTCCTGTTTCGGCTCCGGGCATTCAGAAAGTGGCCCGGGAGTGGTATTCTGGGAACGCGAAGAACACGAAGTGGCCTACAGTCGGCTCCGGACATTCAGAATGTGGCCCGGGAGTGGTATTTTGGGAACACGAAGAACACGAAGTGGCCTACAGTTGGCTCCGGGGTGGCCCGGGAATGGTGCTCTGGGAGCGCGAAGAACACGAAGTGGCCTACAGTTGGCTCCGGGGTGGCCCGGGAATGGTGCTCTGGGAGCGCGAAGAACACGAAGTGGCCTACAGTTGGCTCCGGGCATTCAAAACGTGGCCCGGGAATGGTGCTCTGGGAGCGCGAAGAACACGAAATGGCCTACAGTTGGCTCCGGGCATTCAAAATGTGGCCTGGGAATGGCGTTCTGGCAGCGCGAGAGCCCAGAAGTGGGGACAGTTACAGGAATTGGATGACCCGCTCGGATTAGTAACATGATCCGCGGGCCCCATAGGGAGGGGGCTCCCGCTTGAGACTTCCTCGCAATTCACTTACAAATGTGGCCTGCGAATGGCATTCTGGCAGCGTGAGAGCCCAAAAGTGGCGACAGTTACAGGAATTGGATGACCCGCTGGGATTAGTAACATGATCCGCGGGCCCCATAGGGAGGGGGCTCCCGCTTGAGACTTCCTCGCAATGCACTCACATATGTGGCCTGGGAATGGCGTTCTGGCAGCGCGAGAGCCCAAAAGTGGCGACAGTTACAGGAATTGGATGACGCGCTCGGATTAGTAGCATGATCCGCGGGCCCCATAGGGAGGGGGCTCCCGCTTGAGACTTCCTCGCAATTCACTCAAAGACGAGGCCCAAGGCGAGTGAGTGAGTGAGTGAGTGAGTGAGTGAGTGACTGACTGACTGACTGACTGGTGATGATGATGATCATCACACTCTCTCACGCCCACACTCATCATCAGCAGCAGCATCATCATCATCATCATCATCATCATCATCATCATCATCATCATCATCATCGTCATCGTCATCATCATCATCATAATACTTGAGTGCTGATGAGTCAGTGAGTCAGTGAGTGAGTGAGTGAGTGAGTGAGTGAGTGAGTGAGTGAGTGAGTGAGTGTGCGAGGGATGATGAGTGAGTGAGTGAGTGAGGAATGAGTGATGATGATGATGATGATGGTGGGATCCTGTTCCTGCGCGGGGTGTCCAGAGAAAACAAGAACCCCACTTTGGATTAGGGGAACAAGTTTTTCCCCGGTTTTTCCGTCGGGGTTGCCGAAACAGCGTTGTTTTTAATGGTGTGCCCCGGGAACCCACCGACAACAAATTCGAAGAACTCAGAGTCGGCAGGTTTTTCAAGGGTTTTCCCTCCTGGAGCCTGGGCTGGCCGGACAACCACCGAAAAACCACCGACCAAACCCCGAGTTGTTTTTCTTGGGTTTTTCCGACAGTTTTCAGACATACAATTTCAGCCACGCGCAGAAGGGGGGTGGGGGCAGGGGGGAGGGCTTCTTAGAAGCACCCCTGCTTCTTAGAAGGCGCGGGCCTTCTCTATGCATGTAAGGCTGGCGCCTTCTAAGAAGCAGCCCCCTTCTAAGAAGCCTTCCCCCCTCAACCTACTCCCCTCTGCGCGCCGCCAATAATTATTCTATGCGTGGCCCCCCAGAACCTTTGAAGAAGGTAAGGAAACAGCAAGGAACACCTCTAGTTGGGTTTCCTTCGGGGGTCTCCCCCTGGCCGGAGAACTCCCGAACAAACCTTGAACAAACCCAGAGAGTTGGTTGTTTTGTTCTTTGGGGGGATTCGGATGGTTTTCAAACACAGTATGGTTTTTAATTACGGGGCCCCGGAATCCCGGAAAAACAAATGACATTGAAAACGCGTTGGGGGTTCCCCCCCTGGAATAGCACCCAACAAATTACCGAACAAATTCCGAACAACCATCGAACATCAAAAGACTCAATGGTGGGCTCCCGGGGGGTTAGCCCGAATTGCAATTTGGAGGAACAGAACCCATTGTTTTTTGTTTTATTTTATGGTTTTCGGGGGAGACGGGTTACGCTTTTGTTTTCATTTTCTAAGAAGTAGTATTGTTTGTGTTGGGCCCCGGAAGCCCTCCAAGAACTCCCAAGCTTCCCCCCCGGGATCCCGTCCCCCCCCGGGATCCCGTGTGGGGGGAAACAACAAAGAACCCATTGTTTTTTTTTCCGGAGGGTTCCTGGGGTCTCCAGGGAACTCCCACACCTGTCTCCCAGATCTGGTCGTACCGTCACCGAGCGCGTTCCCCTGCTCGCAGAGTGCCTCCTCGCAGACGCCGGAAACAAAAAAAACGCGCGCTGGCCCCGCTGAAGAATGGACCGTGAAGCCCCCGCGGGGGATTCGGGCCAGGGCTGAACCTACACGGTGCTTTTTGTTTCCGTTCTGTTCTCGTTTCCCCTCGTTTTGGCTTCAACCCGCCTCTGACGCAAAACGAGATCGAAACGAAAACGGCCCACGAAATCGCCACACACCGTTTAGGTCCACCCTTAAGTCGGGCCTGTCCCCTACAGGGGGATTTTCGACGAAAAATAACAAATGTTTTCAAAATAGTCTAGAAATAATCAGAAAATAGTCTGGGGACTATTTTCTGAGTATTTTTTGCCTCTTTGGGGTATCTTTTTTTTTCTCCGTCGAAAATCCCCCTGTAGGGGGACACGCCCGACCTAAGTCCACCCCTGATTCGGGCCAGTTGCGAGCAGTGCTTCGTGCCAGCAGAGGCGCGCGCCTGCCGAGAGCAGGCCGCTCCGAGGCGGGAGGCCGCGAGAGTGCTCCGGCGGCCGAGCGCTCCGCGCGGGGCCGCCGCCGCGGCGCGGCTCCTGCCGCGCGCCGCTCCGGCCACGCGGCGGGAGGCGCTCCCCAGGGCTGGCCTTCTGTCGGGCCTGTCCCCCTGCAGGGGGATTTCCGACGAACAATGAAAAGTACCCCAAACATACACCAGAAAGGTCACAAAAATACTCAGAAGATAGTCCCCAGACTTTTTTTGTATTATTTGTTTCATATTTTTGTTTGGGGTATTTTTTTTTCGTCGAAATCCCCGTGTAGGGGGACAGGTCCGACTTAAGGCTGGCCGCCCCCCCGTGCCCGGGGCAGGGGCGGCAAAGAGGGGGGTGACGACTAGGGGTGGTGGTGGATATCATGGCGGGGGCCATGATATCGCCCCAGATTTCAAGGCGAGTCTTCTTCTTTCATCGCGTCCCTGGGCCGCCCCCCCGTGCCCAGGGCAGGAGCGGCGCCGCAGACATCGACGAGCGCGTTCCACTACTCGCAAGGCGACTGCTCGCAAATGGCCTGGACACGCCGGGGGGATCTACGAGAAGTTGCATCGAAGCAGGCGCGTGTTTTTCGGACGTTTGTGAGTAGGCACTTTGCGAGTAGTGGAACGCGCTCGGGGAAGATAGGCGGCCCCGCCTCGATGCGATGGCGATTTTTGGGCGAGCCGGCTCGCCAGTTTGAAGTCGGGCCTGTCCGTCCACGGGGGGAATGTCCAAAAATAGTAAGCACAATGGTCTGGGGATGATTGTTCGAATATGGTATCTTCGATTTTTCGCCCGAAGTCCCTCTGTAGGGGGACAGGCCCGACCCAACGCCAGTTGGGCAGCGGGTCCTTTGAGGGGAACGGGTCCCGAGGCCTTTCGCCGTCCTCGGGCCCTCGGGGCCCTCTGCGGGCCCGGGGGCTGTCAGAGAACGGCTCTCGGGAGGATCAAAAGGTCTCGTCTTGGGGGAAGGCCCCCGGGTCCAGGACTAGGGGGCCACATGCGAACCCTACCCCTACCCCCCACGATTTCTGAGGGGGGTCGGGGTTGAGAGCGTCTGCGAACCCTACCCTACCCCATGAGAACGTCGGAGGTTGATAGACCTTCTACCCTGACACGTCGATTAAGGAATCGGCCGTTCTCGGTTCGCCAGAGGGCGTGCTCCTTCCTACGCTACTCCAGATGTCGTAATAAAAGGGAGGGGGTCTGGACCCTCCAAGACAAGCCATTTCAGACCCCCCCTCGTGGGAGAACCCTCCAAAACATCGTCCCCAGACCACCCCAGGCCCTCCAAGATAGCCTGGAAGAGACCCCCCCCGAAATGAGACCCCCCTCCCTTTATTACGAAATCTGGAGTACCAGAGCGCTCTCAGAGCTTTCCGGGACGCTCCGAGAAGGTCGCGGCACCCGACATCTTGCAGAGGCGCAGAATCAGAGGCTATCGATTTTTGTCCTCACCCGGACTTGTCCTCGTCTTGGTTTTGCTTTATTCTGGTGGTCGTTGTTTTAACAATTGTTCTGCCGATCGCCGCGGGCCCGCGCAGTCCCCCCCCCCTAAGGAGTAGATCCCGGCTGTTTTGGGCGCCTGTTTCGAGCAGGCGGGGTCCCTCCTTTCACGGGACGCACTGTTGCAAACGATCGCACCGAGCAGAGGTCCCGAGCCAGACCCCCCCTCCCCCCCCCTTCCGCCCAGTGCACGAAACGCCGAATAGGAAAACGCTCACCTGCAGGCTCTGCGCTCGGTGTCGTCTAACCTCGGCACGCACGATCTGGGTACGGAAAGAATGGGCACAATGCCCAACAGCAGTTCCTGTTCATTTTGAACAGGACTCGCTGTCCGCGCCGCCGCGGCCGTGTCCGTTTGAGACAGAAGGCCGCCTGCCCAACAGCGGCCGCTGTTGGCTTGGGACAACATTTGTTGTTGGGCATTGTGCCCATGTTTTCCGTACAGTGCCGTTTTTAATTAAGCATGCAGGGATTTAGTATTGAAAACAACGATGAGTTTGTGCGTGAATTTATTCATAAATTGATCATGTATTAGAATTCCTATATTTTTTAAACATTCTATGTGTTGAGAATTGCCTTGTGCCCATTTCGGGCGTCCAGATGACCCATCCACTTCCCCACTGGGCAGCGGTGCCGCGCAGGCCCGCCGGCCCACGCCCCCAGGTGGGGCCGGGCCCCACGCAGAAGCTGGCGGGCACAGCGCATGTCCCCACTTGCCTGCCTGGGCGACCCGTCCTCCTCCTCGCTCCTCCTCCTCCTCCTCCTCCTCCTCCTCCTCCTGCTCCTCCTCCTCCTCCTGCTTCTCCTCCTCCTCCTCCTCCTCCTCCCGCCTCCTCCTCCTCCCCTTCTTCTCCTCCTCCTCCTCCTCCTCCTCCTCCTCCTCCTCCTCTCCTCCTCCTCCTCCTCCTCCTCCTCCTCCTCCTCCTCCTCCTCCTCCTCCTCCTCCTCCTCCCTCCTCTCCTCCTCCTCCTCCTCCCTCCTCCTCTCCTCCTCCCTCCTCCTCCTCCATCTCCTCCTCCCCCTCCCCCAGCGCTGGCAGATGCGCCAGATTGCCGAGCACCACTCTGCTGCGCCGCCGAGCCGTCCGCTCTGGCCGAGAGGCCTGCGCGCTTGTGTGGGGGGGGAGGGCGGCGACGGTGACGGGGGCGCGACGGGCGGGAGCGCTGCGTAGCCTGTGATCAGATTCTCTGTGGCCCAAGGCGAAGCTGTTTAAGCACGGTCTGTGTGACGATCATAATCATGAGGCTGAGACGCTTGGCCATGCGTTCATTGAGTGTCCAGCGTTGACCCAGCGGATGCTGGAGGGCGAGGAGGACTGTGGCCTCGATCCGAAGTTGGCCGCGGCTCGCGACGCCATGTTGGAGCACGGGCCTATCGGTGAGGGTCGGCAGGAGCTCAACTCGTTTGCGATTGTGATCGGAATCCCTCGGTGGCCCAATATTGATGTGCCGCAGCCGCCGGGCGACCCATTTTGTTTTTTTCTGGGGCGAATGGGACTCGCCCAAGGCGGACTGGAGTGATTCTGTGTTTACCGACGGCTCTGGATATCACAACGATGTTCCAGAGCTGCGTCGCTGTGGCTGGCCAACCGTCATGCTCAATGCCAACGGGCCCCCGTGCGCGCCGTGCACAGTGGGCTCGCAGGCGTGCAGCAGACCGTTGGATGTGCCGAGAGAGCGGCTGGGCTGAGGGCGTTACAATATATGCCGTCGGTCAGGCTGATAGTTAGTGATTTGTTCGGTTTTGTGCAGGAAGGAGCACTCTGGCGCGAAGGTGCGGCTGAAACAGTGACCTGTGCCAGCGCTGCGTACCCAGGCGTGTGGAGGCAGCTCGTGAGACTGAAGCGTGAACCTCCTAGTTTTGCCTGGGTCCCTGCCCACATGACCGAACATGAGGTTCTCTTCCCTGCTCCTGAGAACCCTCCGCCCACTCCTTACCTCTGGCTTGTGGGAAACATGTTGGGTGTTTTTTTGCCAAACTGGGGGCCCTGTCGATCAAGGCCCCCGACGTGCACGCGAGATTCTACAAAGAGTGTCTCTCAGGGGCCGCCCAGTATGCCAAGTAGTTAGGCTGGGCGGTCCAGAGCAGTTGCCGGCTCGAGCTGTGGGCCGAGGCAGCTGTGCTCACTGCTGGTGCTCGGATGCTTGCGCCTGCGGAGAGAAAAAAAAACTTTGTTGCTCCATGACCACGATCTCGTGGAGATTGGTTATCGGTTGTTTTGCAGGAGGTGTAAGCGCTCGGCTAAAACTCCTCAGGTGCGACGGCGGCTGGCTGTGGGCACCAGTCGCAGATGCCGCCCTTCTGCCATTCACACCCTGCAGGCCAGGATCCTGGAGGTTGCCGCCGCCAACCGCCTGCTCGGGGGGGTCGGCGGGGTCTGCGGGCGCTGGGTTGTCGGGGGCGGCGTCGTCTGGGGCGGGGCTGGGGGGCCGGTGGTGGACGGGGCCTCGGCTGGGCGGGGCCCTGCCGGGTCTTCTGGGGAGGGGCCTGTGCCTGCCCGCGAGGACGAGGCTGGGGCCCCTTGGGGCGTGGCCTCGGGCTCTGGGGAGCCCGGGGCGGGGCCGGTGAGGTCCACCGCGCCTGGGGGACACGACGTTCCCGCCACGGGTGCGGTCGTCTGGTGCCGGCGGTGCGGGGCCTGCGGGTCCGTCAGGGTGGGGAAGGCGTTCAGGGCCCCCTGCCCTGACCCCAAAGATTTGGCCCCCAGCAGGCGGCGTGTCCTGAACCGCTCGCCGGGGGGCACGCATCCCAAGTCTGGCAGGCCCCTGGATGGGGGGTGACTGACTGGGCTCAGTTTCTCTCTTGCTCGAGCTGTGTTTGTGAGCAGACGCTGCCTCTTGAGCTCGTTTCTTCGTTTTCTCCTCCTCCTTCTCCTCGGGTCGCCTACGGCCCCGGGGGAAGCCGTGCAAGGGCGGGGGGTAAGTCGGCCAGATTGGCCCTTCCGCTGTCGTCGTCGCCGACCTCGTCAACATCGTCATCGTCGTCGCCGCCGCCTCCGCGCAAGCCTGGCTTCGGCCGCCGCTCGGCTGCCGCTGCCGCAACGCTCGCGCGCGCGCGCCTCAGTTCGGCGCGTGGCTGTCGGACCGCTGCGGCCTGTTGGGCCTGGGCTGCATCGACGCCGTCCTCGTGGAGGCGCCCTGCCGCAGCGTCCTCGCGCCGACACTCGAAGGGCGAGCTTCAATCGGCGTCGCCCCAAGATACTCATACTTGATGTGCGTCGCTCCCCCAGGGGCGACGCGCGCACCGGGAAATCTTATAGTATATGCCTCGTGGCGGGAGCTTTCTGGCCACACCGCTCGGGAAACGATCTACTACAAGATGGGTATACTACATGTTCGGGTCGGACGCGCGTCTGCAAGGAGGACATGTAGTATTAGTATGTCCATGTGCGTCCCATTCAGTGATCGGGTCCATTTCGATCCGATCGAGCAGATCCGATGTCGGTCGTGGCCGGCATGGTCCCAGCGATCTTGCCCCGATGCCTGCGTGGAGTTCGTGTGCATCCTGGCTGGGACAGTCTTGGCCTATATTCTGAGCACGGTGTGAATTTCGCGAATGCCGAGCCTCGAAAGAGAAAACAACAGCATAAACATCAATTGTTGGAGCTCCGCGCGGATTTCTTGGATCGTCGCTGGCGCTGGGCCTCCCTCCCTAGCCCGCGGAGCGCGCCGGGGGCCCAGCGCAGATCCAAGATCCTATGAAATTTGAGGAGGGGAAAACTCACACAGGCACACTTCATCGTTGATCCCTCGGAAAATATGGGAAAATATGGGAAGGTGGGGGGGAAGACGAACATTCAGAACAAATATAGGAAACTAGGGGGAAAATCTTGGGATTTGTGTGTGTCTCTATTTGCATGTCCCTGGGCCCCTTCAAAGCCGCTGGTCCCTTCTCAAGCTCTACCCTTCCGCTCTCCCCGGGCGAATCCGCTCGGGCCGCCTCTCGGTGGCCAACGGGCGGGGCCTCGGGGCAGGTGCTCGGCGCGATGCTCGCGGAGCCCCCGTGGGCGCGGCCCACCGCGGACGACCTGCTGGACATACCGGCGCGCCCGGGGCGGGCCTGGGTGGGAGCCTTTTTTTTGGGGGGGATTCGGGCAAGTTTACTTGCATGGCGTTCGCCCCCCCCCCCCCCCCTAGCCCCTCTTCAAGCGAATACTAGCGTGCAAGTGCCTTTCGACTTGCGTGATTTCCGTTCCCCCCCCCCCTGGGCTTGCTTCAGGCTCAGCCCCCCCCCCCCGGCCATGCAAGTAAACTCTAAACATAACAGGCTCTGGGGGGCTTGGAGACGAGGGCCCGTGCAAACGGTCCGAGACAGGAATTTGTAAACGACCACCGCCTGGAGGACCAACTGTCGGGGACCTCGGCAGGCCATGGATGTGGACATATTCGGACCCCCGGGGCCAACATATAGATATGTCTCTCTCTCTCTCTCTCTCTCTCTCTCTATATATATATATATATATATATATATATATATATTGTAGTGGCCTCCGGCCAGTGCCGCCGATCCGGGGCTCTCCGCAAGATGATGATCAGGATGATGCTGCAGGGGAGAGGGCAGGGGAGGGGGTCTGCTCTGCAGGGGGAGTCCGCTCGGCAGTTGGAGGGACTGCAGGGGAGAGGGATGGTCCGCTCTGAAGGAGGGATGGGCTGCAGGAGAGGAAGTCTGCTCTGCAGGGGGGGGCAGGGAGGGGGGGGGGCGTCCGCTCTGCAGGGGAGGCTGCACGGAGCGGGGTCCGCTCTGCAGCGGCGGGGGGGCTGGGCTGCAGGGAGGGGGGGGCGGTCCGCTCTGCAGGGGGGGGGGGCCGGGGGGGGGTCCGCTCTGGGGGGGGTCCCGCTCTGGGAGGAGGGGGGGCTGCAGGAGGGCGGGTCTGCTCTGCAGAGGGGGGGGGGCAGGGGGGAGGGGGGAGGCTGCAGCAGGGGTCCGCTCTGCAAGGGGGGGGGGTGCTCTGCAGGGGGGGGGGGGGTGCAGGGGGGGGGTTCGCTCTGCAGTGGGGGGGGGGGGGGCTACAGGGGCGGGGTCCGCTCTGCGGGGGGTGGGGGTGGGTGGGGAGGGGGGAGCGTCCGCTCTGGTGCGAGCCATCGCTTGCCGCTGGGGCGGGGGGGGCTGGGCTGCAGGGAGGGGGAATGCGGTCCGGTCTGCAGGGGAGGGGGTCCGCTCTGGGAGGAGGGGGAGCTGCAGGAGGGCGGGTCTGCTCTGCAGGGGGGGGGAGCAGGGGAGGAGAGGGGGATCCGCTCTGCAGGGGGGGTGGGGGGGGCTGCAGGGAGGAGGTCCGCTCTGCAGGGGGGGGGGGTGCTCTGCAGGGGGGGGTGGTGCAGGGGGAGGGGGGGTTCGCTCTGCAGTGGGGCGGGGGGGCTACAGGGGCGAGGTCCGCTCTGCAGGGGGGGGTGGGGGGGGCTGGGCTGCAGGAAGCGGGAGGGGGCGTTCTGCAGGGGATGGGGGGTTCCGCTCTGGGAGGGGGGGGGGGGCGAAGCACTGAATTAGGTCGGAAAGCACTGAATTAGGTCGGAAATGAGGTCCCCCCCCCCTCCCCCGAAGCACTGAATTAGGGCGAAATGAATTAGGTCCCCCCCCTGCGCAGAGAGAGCGAAGCTTGAGCGAGCTCAAGCCCACGCTCTCATAAACTCACACGCCGGATCGGCGGATATATATTATATATATATAATATATATAAAATAAATATAAATGTGTGTATGCATATATGCATATGTATATGATATATATATATATATATATATATATATATATATATATATATATATATATCCGTATCCACCGCCCGCTGGGGCACCAGAACGTCCGTTCCCAGGCGCTGGATGTGGAAAAATGCCAGCCTTGCAAACGGAGGTCTGTCAGAGCGTTGGATCTTGCAGGATCCTGCGGCGCCAGGGGAACGCTGACCCGGGTTAGCGTGCAGGTTCCTGCAGGTTCCTGCAGGATCCTGAAGGATTTTGCAGGATTTTGACGGGTCTTGCAGGATGCTGCAATGCCTGACTGACCTGGCGTTGCATTGACTCAGGTCAGTGTGCCCCCGACTTAGATGGGCCTCAATCAGGGAGAAGGTTAGAGTCGAAGAAGAAGAAGAAGAAACGCGATAATCGTAAGCTGTTGGCGCTCCGCGCGGATCTCTTGGATCCGCACGGGGGGCCCCCCAGGCGGCGCCTCCGGCGCCGCCCCGGGCGCGCTCCGCGCACCAGGGATGGGAGTCCGAGCGCGGATCCAAGAAATCCGCACGGAGCGCCAACAGTTTCTGTTTGTGTGGTGTTTTTTCCTATAGAGGGGATGGGCTCAGGGTAACGCTCGGAGTGGATAAGCCCAGAGGGGGGAGTTTTTGGCAAGTCTTTCTGGAAAATGTTGGCAAGTCTTTCATGGGAATTTCCGAAGCCTCGGGTGGTTTCCGTCCAGTGCGCCTCTCCCAGGGCGGGGCTGCCTGGATCGTCCCGAGCAGCCGCGGGAGGCCCAAGGCGTGCCCCGAGAACCAGGGAGCGGAAGGCCAGGGGCAAGGTCGGGCTGAGCCTCAGAGGAGGAAGAGGTACACCCATGCCTCTGCCCTCCGCTCGCTTTCCTATCTTTGGGCCTCCTGGGCGGCCCTCGTTTTCTCCGCTGGGTGCGCCTCGAAGTTCTGGTATCGGGGAGCAGCGGTATCGGAGAGGGTCCGGGGAGCAGCGGTATCGGTATCTTTCTGGTCTCCCCAGGGCCGGGGTTGGGGCACAGGCGCGTCGACCCCCACCAGTCGCCCATGGATCGCCGAGAAGAGGGGGGGGTGGGCCTTCCCGCCCAGCGGCGTGCGGATTCTCGCCGTCGGGAGCCTGGGGGCCCATGCCCAGAAACACCCTGCTTGCCTCCAGGGTGCCCTGGGGGTCTTGGGTTGCGCTGGTTCTGCGATGGAGAGCCCGACGTTCCCACGCCAGCAATCCATGGACGTCCTGGGGTCTCAGGGTTGGGATTCTTGTGGAAGGTCTCTTGTGGTCGGGCCCCTACTGTATCGCCGACCTGTCGGCGATGTATCGCCGACGTTCCCCCATGAGCCACCCCCCCCCATCTCGGGTATGGCCAAGACCCCAGGTATTGGAAGCTGGTTAGTGACTGGGCCCCGAAGCCCCTCAGATTGGCCAGAATCACTAAACCAGGTCTGCTGTAGCTGGCGTTTTTCGGGAGACGGCAGTTTTGGTCAGTGGAATGGGGCGGGGGAGGCATCCCCAAGCACACATCATTAGATCAGATTCCACTAAACCCAGTCCTGCCAATGCCCGACGATCGTTCTCCCTAGGTCTGTTTTCGGTAGCCAATCATGGGAGCCTGGCGTACCCTGTCAATCCCAACTTTGGCGTCGCCTGGCGTCGATTAGCGTCCGGCAGTTGACGAGAGGGCGCCGTTCTGGCGTCGATTTCGCGTCGATATTCGCGTCGATTCAGCGTCGACTTAGCACCGATTTTCGCGTCGATTCGCAAGAGCCGACAAGATGGTCCGGGAGGCTTCCAGGAGCTGCCGCCGACGTGTGTGTTTAGGGGGCCGCGGCGCCTCGGGCGCCTCGGAGGAGGTGCCGACGGCTCCGCGGCCCCGCGCGGTGGCGGCATAAGCAGCGCCGTGGTGCTGCCTGGCTCGTGCGGGGCATGTTTGTTTGTCTCTTTCTCCGGGTCGGCGGCTACAACAGGGAACCGAACAATGCCATGAACCTAACAACTCGGAGGTCCGCGCGGATTCCTTGGATCCGCGCTGGACCCCCCTCCCTGGCGCGCGGAGCGCGCCGGGGGCGGCAGGGGGCCACCAGCGTGGACCCCCGAGTTTTTATGTTTATGTCACTGTTCGTGTCCCTGTAGAAGGGGTATGGTTGCGCCAGGGTGTGGTTTGCGATCGGCACCGTTGGGGCCTGGGGGGCACGTCACCGTCCTCGTCGGGAATCCTCGGGGCGCGGGAGAACTCTGTCGAGGTCCCCGCGCGCCCCCTAGGGTGCCCCCCAGGATGTTCCCCAGGGCGCCAGTTGCAAACCAGACCCTTTGCAAACCACACCCTTTGGAGTCGCCGACTTTCTTCGGGGCCGGCACAGAGGGGGGTGATGACTAGGGGGGGTTGGATATCATGGCGTGGGCCATGATGTTTCCCCAGATTTCATGGCGCCTCGTCTTATTTCGATGCGTCCCTGGCCTCCCCCTGGGCCGCGCACATGCCGCCGGCCATGATTTGCGCCCCCCCTCTTTGACACCCCCCTCTTGGCCGCCCCCGATTTCTCTTTCTCGGGAACTGGAGCATACAGTAGGGGCCCATGCCAAGAAACACCCTGCTTGCCTCTGGGGTGCCCTGGGCTTCTTGGGTTTCGATGGTTTGCTGTTGAAGGCGTGACGTTCCCACGGCAAGAATCAATGGACGTCTTGGCGCCTCAGGATTAGGTTTCTTGCGGAATGTTTCTTGTGGTCGGGCCCCTATTGCATACATTATACCAGTGGCTGGCTGTTTTTTAATCCCAGGACTTTTGGGGGGTCGGGGACGACGTCGGGAGGTGGTGTGATGTATACTCTGTTCGTCGTTTTACCGTGGAAGCCACGAAACATGTATACATCAGGATACCGTATACACGGATCCGATCTCTTGTGCAAAGTCCAGTGCGGGGCCGCAAAAAGCGTCGGTGTATAGAGTTCGTTTCCCTACGTTGTTTATTTCTCTTTCTCTTTGAGGTCTTACAGCGACATTCACTATCTTGTCCATACAGTCCTACTCAACATGGTCAGTGGCCTGCAGCCTGACATGCCACTGTTCCTGGTTTGTGGGCCAGGGGCTCAGAGTCGTTGTGAATTGTTTTGTAAATATTGCAAGGCATGGTGGGACAGGGAGGGTCCTACATTTAACACCCACGGTAAGGAGGCGCTGCTTCATCAAGGACATTTTAGCATTCCTGCTTCGTCGGCCCTTCGTGAGCCAGAGTTGACGTCCAGTCAGATCCGAATGCTACATCGCATTTCTACGGGTATTGCACTCATGCCCTGCATTCGGATGCGCAGAGACATACTAACACTAGATGTCCTCCTTGGAGGTGCGTGTCCGACCGGAACATGCAGTGTATTCATCTCGTAGTAGATTGTTTCCCGAGGGGCGTGGCCAGAAACAGCGCCCGCCACGACGCATACGCTGTAAGACTTCTCGGTGCGCGCGTCTCCCCTGGGGGGTGCGACGCGCACATGCAGTAAGAGCAAATCCAACATGCAACAGCGACGCTGCAACAGGCCCTCCCGTCCCAGGCCTCCGTTTTTCAAGTCCTTCCAAGCATTCCTCTCCACTGCGTCTACAAGAAACCCAACCCTGAGACCCCAGGACGTCCATGGATTCTTGGCGTGGGAACGCCACGCTTCTCGTAGCAGAACCACCGACACCCAAGAAGCCCGCGGCACCCTTTGAGGCAAGCGGGGTGTCACCACCCACCAAACCACCCCAACCCAACCCGAAGGCTCAGATTTACCCTCGATTTCTAGTGGGGGGTGGTCCGGGAACATCGAAAAAACACATATGGAGCCCATACCCCCCCCAACCCGAAATTCGGGTCTTCGGGTTGGGTTGGGGTGGTCTGGTAGGTAGTCACTTTGAGGCAAGCGGGGTGTTTCGCGGCACGGGCCCCCACTGCAGTATATCAGTGTGCCAGGTGTGGCGCCGATGCGTCCTCGCTGTGGCTTTCGACCGCCGGTCGCCTGCCCATCCGCGGGGGCTCGCTTCGACTCCTCCGACTCGATCCGATTCGGTCTCGATGGCCTCCGATTCCGACGCGATCCGATTCGGGCCTGCGACTCTCAGGAGGGGAAAAAACGCACAGACACAATTCATCGTCGATTCCCCAGAAATCGGAAACTATGGGAAGCGGGGGGGGAAGACAGACACCCAGAACATATGGGAACCTATGGGGGATCCTTTTGTTTGTGTGTATTTATTTGTGTGTCCTGGGGCCCCTTCAGACTCGGGTCCCGATCCCGTGTCGGAGGCAGAGTCGCCCGCCGATATCCCTGCCGATCCGACCTCTCCCGACCTCCGCTGCCGCTCCTCGCCGAGCCGCTTCCCCCCTCGAGATCGCCGCTCCGGCGCGCCGATGCGCTGCTGGGCCCTCCTCCCTCCTCCTCCTGCCTCCTCCTCCTCCTCCTCCTCCTCCCTCCTCCTCCTCCCCTCTCCCTCCCCCCCTCCTACTCCTCCTCCTCCCTCCTCCCTCCTCCTCCTCCTCCTCCTCCTCCTCCTCCCTCCTCCTCCTCCCTCCTCCCTCCTCCCTCCTCCCTCCTCCCTCCTCCCTCCTGCCTCCTCCCTCCTGCCCCCGCGGGAGCCCCGCGGTCGCGCCGCGGCCGCGCCAGCTCCTGGCCCGCCACGTGGACCCCGCCGGCGTGCTGCCGCCCTGCGAGCGGCCCTGGCCACCCCGCGGGGGGGTGGGCGGCTCTCCGCGGGGGACGGGGCGATCAGAGCCCCGAATTATCAGGGGTAACTCGGGTCAGGGCTAACTCGGGTTCGTTTCTCGGGAGCCCGAACCCGAGTTATCCCGGACCCGAGTTTCCCCGGACATTTCGGGCGTCCAGAGCCCCGAATCATCAGGGGCAACTCGGGTCAGGGCTAACTCGGGTTCGTTTTTCGGGAACCCAAACCCGAGTTACCCCGGACCCGAGTTACCCCGGATAACTCGGGCGTCCAAGGGCGAGGTGGAAGTCGGGCCTGTCCCCCTGCAGGGGGATTTTCGAGGAAGAGTAAAGGATACCCCAGAAAGGCCCCAACGAGGTCAAGCAATGGTCAAAAGATAGTCCCCAGACTAGTTTTGGAATATGTTTTGATTATTTCGGGTTTTGTTATGGTTCGTTTCTTATTTTTCGTCGAAGATCCCGCTGTAGGGGGACAGTCCCGACATAAGGCGAGGGTGGCATGGGGCGCGAGCATATGTCTCTGCAGCGGAAGGCCAGGGGCAAAGTCGGGCCGAGTCTCGGAGGAAGAGGTACACCCATGCCTCTACCCTTCCGCTCGTGATCCCACCTTTGGGCCTCCTGGGCGGCCCTCGTCACCTCCGCTGGATGCGCCGCGATGGAGAGCGCGACGTTCCCACGCAAAAAATTCATGCACGTCCTGTGGTCTCAGGGTTGGGTTTCTTGTGGAAGGTCTCTTGTGGTCGGGCCCCTACTGGATCGCCAATCTGATGTGGTCGGGGTGGATGGGGTCGAGGGATCGGTCCGCATCGCCGGTGCATCGGCACTGCGGCTCGATGCGGAGCCCGAGTTTCTTAAAAATGCCGATGGCGCCGATACGTCGCCGACCTCGCGGATGCGTCGGCGATGCATCGCCGATGTATCGGCGATGCGGTGCAATCCTCCGACCCATCCACTCGGTCCCCATCTATCAGGCGATCGCAAACATGGATCCGGGTGGCGTGGATTAGCGACGGGTCCCGTTTCCATGGGGAATCACGGATTCCCGCCGCCGAGCGAGGCGGCACCGGCCGCATTTCGGGGAGGGCACCTCCCCCGATCCATGGATTTGGCGACCGCGCGCCGAATCCGTGGATCCCTAATCCATGTTTGCGCGCCCCCGACTCTAGGTCTCCCAGGTGGCGTCGGAGTAGATGGGGTCGAAGGATCGGTCCGCCTCGGCGAGGCGGCTCGATGCTGAGCCCGAGCTTCTTTAGTGCCGATGGCGCCGATAGCGTGGCCGATGCATCGCGGATGCATCGCCGATGCATCGGCGATGCATCACCGATGTATCGGCGACGCGGTGCAGTCCCGCGGCCCCATCCACTAGGACCCCATCTAGGAGGCTCTCTACTTCGCCGAGGGCGTTCCACTACTCGCAGAGTGCCTCCTCGCAACCGTCCGACAAACACATGTCCGCCTTGATGCCCTTCATTGTAGATCCCTTGCGGGGGATCCAGGTCATGTGCGAGTAGCTACTTTGCGCGAGTCGCGCCGGTCGTTGAAAGTAGGTATTTTTGGATTCCCAGATCCCACCCTACTTCGAGCGCCTTCCTGCTTCAAGAATCGACACGCCTCTGCTGTGCTTTGTGATTCCCTGGTGGGGCCTGGACCCAATCTACCCAATCCGCCTTCCCACTTCATGTTTTTACCCACAGTGCCGTTTTTAATACATGCTCCGCGTGCGGGTCATGTATTAAACATGCAGGGACTTACTTTCAAAAGCAACGATGAGCTCCTGCATAAGTTTATTCGTATACTTATCTTGCATTAGCATCCTAGATTCTTAAACATCCAATGTATTAAAACCTGCCCTGTGCTTCTTCCGACCGACGTGTCGCGGAAAGCGCTCGTCTAGTATCAGGAGGGAAAAAACACACAGACACAATTCATCGTCGATCCCCCAGAACATCTGGGAGGTGGGGGGGAAGACAAACACCCAGAACACATGGGGAAACATATGGGTAATCCTTGTATTCGTGTGTGTTTGTTTGCGTGCCCCAGGGCCCCTTCATAAACATCCTAGATTCTTAAACACCCAACGACGAGTTCCTGCGTAAGTTTATTCGTGCACTTATCTTGCATTAGAAATCCTAGATTCCTAAACATCCAATGCATCAAAAAAACTGCCCTGTGCTTCCGCCGACCGACGCGTCGTGGAATCGCGCTCGTCCGGTGCGCGGGCGCGGGCGCGCGTCGGGCGCGGCGCCCGGCTCGCGGCGAGGAGCGGGGCCCCGCGGGGCGCGGGGCGGCCCGGGGTCCTGCGGGCCGGACGAAAGGGGGGGATCCCTGATGGTCCGCTACCGAAAATTTCCGGTAGCGCTCCGCAGAGATCGGTCGCTACCGAAATACCGAAATGTAGCGCCCAATACCGGTATCAGAGCGTTCTGAAACCCGCTATCTCAACGCCCTCGAACGAAGATCCGGTCGCTACCGAAATTCGGGGTGCGTCGAAATCGCTACCGAAAATTTCCGGTACCAGACCATCTGGGGGGGATTGGGAAAGGGGGGGGTGCGAAATTTGCTGCATGCAGCTCGTTTCGGCCCCACCGAGGGGCCAATTCCTCGATACATGGCCGCACCCGGCGCCGGGAGGCGCCGGGAGAATCAGCTACGTGAGCTGATTCTCACCCCCCCCCCCCTTTGCTATCCCCCCCTTTCGCCCGACCCGAGGTCTGCGGGGCGCGCGGGCGGGGCGCGGCGGTGCTCGGGTTAGGTCGGGCCCGTCCCCCTA